GTTCAAGTGGATTAGGATAATCAGCGAATGAAGACAGTTGGATTGGATTAAGTCCAGTCCCCAAATCCAAGGTAAGATCTTAGCTAATCTAACTGCTGAAACTGGACCACTTTCGTTAAAAACTTCGAAAGATAAAAAATAAGGATTTGCTGCCCAGTTTGCTTAGGACTTTGGCAACCTCACCAAAAACGGAAGTGCTGCCGAATAACAGCTGAACTAATACCCACAGTTCTCTGCCCCTAGTTCGAATCTCTTTTGACACTCATAATTGTTTGCAATTACGGAGAAGGCCTCTTATCAGCCCTGCACTTCGCTGTGTTCAAGTCAGATGAAATCAGTTTCCAAGCATCCTTCACATCAGCGGATACTACTGAAATCCACCCCCCCCCCCCTTAAAATTTGGGTTTAGCTTACTCGTAGATAATGCAGCTGCTTACACAACATTTGGATTTCATTCCTAGATCCGGAGGCCTGTTATCCTTTTTCGAACAAGGTTTGAAAACTAAAGGCCTCAACATGCGAGTTTGAGGGAGGCAGCAACATGGCTTCCTGATACACGAAGCGTAAGTTGCATGGTATTTTTAAGTTGACACACTGGGGTCAAATTAATGACTGTACTCGAATCATGATGTAAGTTTCGGACACGCAGCATGCACCAATGACACGAGATTCCAGTCGCAGTTATAAAGGCCTGTTATCCTATTTTGGACAAGGTCTGAACATTAAAGGATTCAACATACATTTCGGATTGCGATTTCAGGAAACTATTTCGTGCACTCAAACCGTTAGGATTAGCGTCAAGTGGTGATAAAAGTATACAAAAAGCGTTAAACGCAAATATAAGAGTTATTGTTACGGGAGAAATGAAGACATTCGGCTGATTAAAACCTTTATATAAATATCATTAATTTCACCGTGTTTTTTGGGGATATTTGTTTTACTTAACTTATGAACTTGTTTGATTTATTATTTTCGGACATTTTGGTTTCTGTTTGTCTTGGTTTGGTAATTTGGAGTTTATGCTCCAGGAACCTATAAAATTGAAGGTATTTGTAGTTATTATAATTATTGTTGTTAGAACGACATTTTAGTCGACTATTTGTGAATAGCGAATAAACTTTGGAGTTTGGTGCTGTTGTTAATTTGGGTTCGTGAATTGCAAATAGATCGACATACCGTATTTCAATAACGGGAAGGAGCAAAACTTGGACGTAACAGTTATTAAGAGATAAGTGAAGGGTTTGATCGTGAGCAAGTTGACATGGGGTGCTGTTAGGTTTATCGGGGTCGTTGTCACTTCCAGGTCGATTACATCGTGGAAGAGTATTTCTTGAGGGAATTTAAAAGGAAGTTCGGTTATCATTGGTCTTAGAAACCTGGCTAGGTTACTGCAGAGTCTAAGGGACAACTGTTTGTCTTATGGCTTTTTATGGTAAGTTTTCAAAATGTTACCTCTGCTCTTCAAGTAGCCCTGACGTCCGAGAGGAAAATTCGGGTAATGTGGGGTACAACATTTTTAGGGTCTACTTTTTCTGATGATTGCCGAAAAAATTCACATGTTTGTTTGTAGTGGAACACTTCTTCGAAGAAAATACGATTTGTGAAAAATAAACATTATTGTCCTCGATTTGTTCAACTGTACCAAAAACACTTCTACGACTTCGCGCGCGCAACGTTCTCTTCGCGTTGCTGTCATCTTTCTCTGTTTGCTGTTTCCCATGTAATGCTTACTGTCTCCTTCAATAAAACCTTGGACTATGGATTTGTTTTGATATTCGTGACGCGACCGTATGGAACATTTTTGTGGTGAGCATAGTCAATCTGGTATCTTGACTCGCTCACCACAAGTTGATGGCTTATCTGCACTGTCTCAGGATTTTGAGAACATTATCACATCTATGGTGAGCACTATCGAGTCGAGACGAGACAATTTGCCTCATCTTTGGACTAGATAAATAATATATTCTACTTGACTTATTTCTCGCACATCTTCTGACCGAGTTATTTCTTCCCTAAAACCTTGGTTTTTTGACTAGAGTGCGCGTACGTGCACTAATTTGTTTATCGAATGTCTAACATCTTTTTGTTGGACCATAATTAATTAGCTGTGTCTCAAAAAACGGAGTTATTTCGCCTAACTTTCTATGTTTTGCTTTGCCACGCTTCGTTTTCTTGCTTCTGATTCTTACGTCTATCTGCTAAGGAGGACGTATGAAGCGAATTCATCCGAATAAAATCATACTGAACTTTCCATGACCACCACACAGATAGGATAAGCCCAAAAATAATCTAGAAAAATTAAAAGATTTATTTCATTTGAATATGTAATGGTTTATGCAAATTGGAGCTAGATTCAGGTCCTCAAAAGGACATCGACTACTACATGACTAATAAGCACACAAATTTGCTATCTACATATATTACATCTCAGCTACTTAATATTCGACTTTATAAAAGGATTGTGATCCGAAGATTTTGATAGCGTTGCAATATTCATTTCAGGTTGTCTATCTCCATGTAGGACGTTTTAAATGGAATCCCAATCATTAACACTGTAGAATGAGTAATTTAACTTCACGCCATTGATGCACACTATGCTGAACATTTGATAACTGAGTGAAGAAAATCTTTAGTAACATTCTTACTAAGTGGTTGTAAATATTTTACTGTCTTATACACAATTCTGCTTTAACACATACCTTTCTATCGTTTTCGTGCTGGTATATAGCCATATTGATGTAGCAGATTAATAATGGTTATGGGTTACTATTTGTTGTCCAGCATTTTGGACTTTCATCAGCAATAGCGGAATTCGCCTGTGAAAAATTTGCGGAAATCAAGATTCATTTCATTGACATATCTGATAGTTCATCCATGTTGGATTTAGATTTCAGGGGACTAAATATCCTGGTAAAAGTAGCATCATAAACAAACTGCGACCTTGGTGTCTTCCAAGTGATTAGTACTAGCCACAGAAGTAGTTTCACTAACAAAGGACTTCAACCAGATTAACTTACTAAAAACACTACTGCGACAAACGAAAATTAACAGGCCTAGATGAGATGCATGTAGACTTTTGAGACAATTTGCAATTCTCCTTGCTGTTGCACGCACACAATATTCAAAATGCCAACAAGCCAAACATATCAACTTTGGATAGGAAAGATGTGATTGAGACTTTAAGTGGAATGATTGGATTGTTACAACACCAATCACACTACAGACCTTTTGGCTTTTGTTACGTTTTTTTTCAAAATATTGTACATCGAATCCTAACGAAAGAAATGAAGGACGTCGATGCATGAGCGTCTCAACGCAGAAAATTTTTCACAATGGTTTAACTTGTGCTTATGCTAATTAACGAGGATGAAAACATTTAGATAATGATGGACAGATACACACCAACAAACATAAAATGTATGATGCCAGCCAATATACGTTACACATCACAACTCATTACTGTGATCCTTAAGTCTCGAGACCAATTAACAGCAATTCACTCTTGTTTAGTTAGCCAGCATAGGTTTGATCTGTTCATTTACAGGAACTTTTATTTCTTCACTACAACAGGTCGAACATAGCAGTAATCATATATCCAGCTTTTTTGTGGATCTCCTTTTTTCTTTTCAATGACATTCACAGTGAATTATCACGGAGTTCCAACTTACATACGAGATCGTCAAATTCACTGTTTACACCAAGCGCCTACGAGACTCAATTTTCTAACTGCAAACTTACTAACTAGTCCAATCACACAAACTGCCTACAAGAAAAATATCCCTGAATACTTTCCAAAAACCAATCATTTTCTAACAACCCTGATGAGTACCCAACCAATTTGTGAACGCTCGTTGGGAACTTCAAAAAATCCTGCTGTTCACACCTGTGAAAATGGTATGTAACCGCTGTCACGATTATACCGTTATTATGTAGGGTAATAGTTAATAAAGGCTATGGGTTACTGTCGAACAGTTGCAGCCAGAAAGTTTAGAACTTCATTAGATCTAGGACAAATTTACCAAGTTTAGTACATTTTCATGTGCACTTACACAACCGAATGCAAGTACATTCCGAGCAATTTCGTTGTCCGCAGGTCCTATTAAGAAACCTACTTCAGGCAACTAAAATACGTTCACAAGAGGCTTGCATATTATTTCTATAGTTCTGAGGTTTGCAGTACAGTATCGTTGGATAGGTCAGATCTCCTTTTGTCAACCAAGATAATTAAATGATGACGGGTGAGATGCGAATAATTGGTTTCGAGCTTGATATATCCTTATTTCCTCCCAAATAGGTTGAAGCATTTGAAAAAACACGGCATACACACCCTACGGTGAAGAAACACACTTTTTTATACCGTTCTAACCAACAAGAAGGCAACTTTTAGAAGCCAATTTAAGAGTAACTGATATCCACACTTTTGATTAACTTATTCGAAAAGCGATTCGCCCACTAGAGTTACAGAATGTTATAATCAACATTCATGAACGCACAAAATGTGCCTTCATAGGAAATGTTCTTTGTTTTGCCTGTGATTGTGTTCTTAAGAAATCCGGAAACCAGTATTATCTGATCACATTGTCTGAGGCTATTCTAACCACATCAGGGAACTAGAAGTACAAGTAAGTAAATGAATTCTGAAGTCTTACTTTCAAAATCACGTTAGTCGAATATTTATTTCCAATTGAATTCTATCAGCGACTCGATATGGTCTTAACTGTTTGAAATTCATTCGCTTGAAAAATATATGATAGAAACCTCGATTCTAGGTTTCATGTTAGCTGACACATAGTACACTAAGGGTATACCTAACATCTTCAGGTAACTAACTGATGCTCTTTGTGGGATGAGATCCCAGGTTGTCCAAAGTAAGTGTATGCACATTCTACTAGGCTCAACCTATGATAAAACATTTCGTATCAACCATATCCAATCTGATTGAATTAATTCATCAACCAGGTAATGAAAACAATTAAAACTTTAGAATAAAATTCTAATAGTTAACTTATATATATATATATTTATATTTTTGTTTCAAATAGGTTATTAGGGCAATGAAATGGTGATTGATTTTTTTTAGGAGGATAAGAAAGAATATCATCATACTGAAAATTTCATCTCTTTTCATTGTTTGTTCTGTTTGTTCTGTTAATTGTTTTTCATATTAAAAAGAACATATCTGACTGAGATGGTCACAGAACTACTACCTACTGATTGCACAAATTTGAAATATTGTGTAAAAGAAGAGAGAGACAGAGAGAGAGAGAGACAGAGAGAGACAAAGAGATAGAGAGAGAGAAAGAGTAAAAATCTTAAACTATTTATTGGCTCTTAACCAAAATCGACCAATTCATGAGAGAGTTTGAGACAAACAACAACAACAACACACGTTGCTGTTGTCGATGCTGCTGCTGATGATGATGATGATGAAGTTGTTGCAGTAGTAAAATTTCCTATTTTTTTCATTCTTTTAATTGACAATGAGACGAAGAATGATGTATCAACGTATCTCCTCTGGTCAATGTTGATGGTAGTGGTGGTTGTGGTTGTTGCTGTTGATGTGATCGATTTGGATTTTTGAAACCAGATTGTGAAATATATGAAGAATTGTTGTTGTTGTTGATGGTGGAGGAACCACAGGAGGAGGAGGAGGATGAGGGGGCGGCGGTAGCAGCGGTGAAAGCTAAAGATGGGTCAAAAAATGATTGGAAATGTGGAGTGGTTCGCCAAATTTCTATTAAGTTTATTTTATTTGTTTTTTCAATAAACCGGAAGAATTATACAGAAAAAGGAGAAGGAGATAAAGAGAGAGAGAGAGAGAAATAAACACCGGATTTGAAATTATTAATAATTAATTGTATATATATATAAATTGGAAAATGTGTTGCATTTCATACACACCAAAGGTCAGTAAAAAAAAAGTAATTTTAAACGAAATGTTTTTAAAAAAAAATGTTATTCCCAATTTACTGAAGAAATCAAATCGTCACACCTATATAGTAGTATATATAGTCCCGCGTGGTCTAGCTGTTAGGATTCCTGGCTTTCACCCAGGCGGCCCGGGTTCGACTCCCGGCGAGGAAGCGTTTTCTCGAGTAAGCAACGCTGTTATTACGAATCGGTTGCTAGGTAAGAATGGCAGATCAATAGATGAAGTAATGAAACTTCATCAGTTGAGGTGGTTGGGACATGTGTTACCTATGCCTAACCACCAACTGCCTCGAAGAGCTTTGTTTTGTAGTGTAGGAGTAGGTTGGAAGAAAGTTAGGGGCGGCCAGACCAAAACATGGCACAAATCCATGAAGTCATTGACAAGTGGACTTAGCCATGTCGGTAATTGTCGACTACATGGTTGGGGTACGCGAGATGATAATAATCGATGGTTAGAGACCTTGAATGACATGGCTCAAAATCGTTCGCAATGGCGCCGGTGCATTTATTCTTTGTGTTCTCTCAAATCCTAATCTTCTGGATTATTCAACCCCTCTACTTTTTTCTTTCTAAACTTTTCTCACTGAATCATACTTCTTAAATAATATCTTCTAATCTTAACCTCTCCGATTACTTCTAATACCTACTATTGTATTTGATTTGACATCTGCGTCTTTGTGCTAATAATGTGGTATGGCGACATGAACTGATGTACTTATGTACGTACGAAGTTCTACGTTGCATCTGACTGACTGACTGACTGAATAAGTTAGACACAATCTAAGTAAGTAATTCACAATTTACTACTAGTATTCACTTAAATCAACACATAGATGATTTGATTCAGTGGATAAGATTAATTCAAATGTTTCATAGGTTCAATGATCAACGTCACACTGCTTAAACTAGTCCGTTTATTTTCATACTTTCGTTTAAAGCTAAATTTTAATAATAAAATTTAACTAAATTGTCAAATATTTCAAGAAAATGGAAATTACCAATATAAAGACGGTTCTTTCAAATTCAGTCAGTCAGTTACAACGTAGAACTGCGTACATACATACGTACGTAAGTACGTACATCAGTTCAAGTTGCCATACTACATTAGCACAGAGACACAATTGTCAATTCAAATTCAATAGTAGAAGAGGTAGTAGAAGCATGAGTAGTAATCAGAGAGATTAGGTTTAGAAAATATTATTCAACAAGTAGAATCTAGTGAAATAAACTCAAAAACAGAAAGATAAAAGTGATGAGGAATCTAAAGGATTAGGATTTCAGAGAACACAAAGAATGGATACATTTGCGCCATTGCAAACGGTTTCAAGCCATGTCATTCAAGACCTCTAACCATAGATTACTATCGTCTCGCGAATGCTAACCACGTAGTTAACACTTACCAACATGACTCAACCTACTTGGTAGTGAGTGACTTCATGGATTTGTGCCATGTTTTGGTTTGACCGCCCCTAACTTTCTTCCAACCTACTCGCCTACACCACAAAACATAGCCAGACGAGAGGTAGTCGGTGGTTCTTTCAAATGAATTATTTGAAAAAATATCTAACCATAGAACAGTTTTTCTTCTTATGTGACTGAAGGTGTTTCAAGTTAACTTCATAGACGTTTATTAAACTATTGAATTGGGATTTTTGACTCCCTCCAAAAAATTACCACCCTTTTTCTGTCAGTGCATACATATGTCAATGTCTATTATTTAAATTATCGAGGTCAAAGGTTAACTAACTTTTAAAAAAAAACACACACACATATCTATCTATCTGTCCTCAATTAGCATTTCTGACACTTATTGTATAATATGGATGGCATTAGGTGGGGAATATTTCTGTCAGGCACAATGTGTATTGTTGGTATCAGTGAGGTCGATTTGTACCACCCTAGGGGGAAATGATGACTGAATAAATAAAACAAGTCAGCAGTAACTAAATGCTAAACAATTCCATTTTTCTTTTAAAGAGAATAATTTCTTGTGATTATATATGATTAAACACCATCATCATCATCACATTACTAGATTAGTAAGTGTACAAAAAAAAAACAATTTGAGTAAAATACCCGGTTATTACAATTGAAAAATCGATAAAAATTAATTTTTCAAAATGATTAATATTAATATCAAATAATCATCGATCATTTTATATTCAAAAAAACAACTTGTTAAGCGTGGCGTTTTATTCATCCATTTATTTTCAATATTTAATATGTCTGAACCAGCCAGAATTTTTGAGCACTTTCCAATTAATTCAGTCAGTTGCAACGTACATAAGTTCATGTTGCAATACCACATTAGCACAGAGAGACGCAAATGTCAAATCAAATCCCATAGTGATAGAGATAGTAGAGGTATTATTAATGGTAATGAAGAAGAAGACTAGGGTTTGAAGATATTATTCAAAAAATATAATTCAGTGAGATAAGGTTAGAAAGACAAAGGTAGAGGTATTGACGATTCAAGAAGATTAGGATTTGAGAGAACACAAAGAATGGATGCACTTGCGCCATTGCAAACGATTTTGAGCCATGTCGTTCAAGGTCTCTAACCATTGGTGACTTTCGTCTCGCGGACACCAACCAGATAGCCTACATTTACCAACATGACTCAGTCCACTTGTCAGTGATTTCATGAATTTGTGCCATGTTTTGGTTTGGCCGCCCCTAGCTTTCTTCCAACCTACTCCTACACCACAAAACATAGCTCGTCGAGGCAGTCGGTGGTTGGGCATACGCAACACATGCCCCAACCACCTGAACTAATGAAGTTTCAATAATTCATTTATTGATTTGCCATCGCTACCTAGAACCAGTTTCCTAACGATAGCATCGCTTACTCGGTTGTCCCACGGTATACGAGCAATGCTTCGAAGACATCTATGATCGAATACTAGTAACCTACGAATATCTTCTACTCTTAACGGCCATGTTTCGCATCCATATAGTAGAACGGAGCGAACTGCTGCACAGTACACTCGTCCTTTAGTCAGCAAACGGATATCTCGCCTACGCCATAAGTGACGCAGGTTGGCAAAAGCCAACCGAGCCTTCTGTATCCGAGCTGAGATTTCGTCAGTCACCAGGCCATCGGCCCTGATGAGACTCCTAAGATAAGTGAAGTGATCAACACGCTCGACTACTTCACTCCCTATCACTAGTTCAGATGCCGATGCATCCCAATCTTGAAGCAACATTTTGCATTTCGGGGGTTAGAACCGGATGCCGAACATGCTTGCATTGTTGCTTAGGTTGGTCAGAAGACTCTGTATTTTGTCAGCGTCTTCACCGAATAGAACTATGTCATCGGCATATTCTAGATCAGTAAGCGATTTTCCTGGTAGAAGGTCAACCTCTGAAAAATCTGACGTGCTTAATGTTAACTCTAAGAGGATGTCTACAACAAAGTTAAAGAAGAATGGAGAGAGTGGACAGCCCTGACGGACATTACTTGATGTAGAGAATTTAGATGACATAAGCCATAAGCTCTCGCTCGACCAGTAGTGTTCGAGTAGAGTGCTTGTATAAGGTTAATGTACTTCTTTGGTACACCTTTCAAAGAAAGACACTGCCACAGAACCTCATGATCCACAGCGTCAAATGTCGCTTTTAGGTCCAAGAACACAACAATTTTCGGACGTCTAAATGTGTATCTATGTTCCAGAACCTGTCGTAGTGCGAACATTTGGTCTATACAGCCACCTAGACGTGGCTGCATATTTCATTGTGTGAATTACAACTTGAGTGCACATGATGTGTTTTGATTCAAGATGTAATCAAGAATGCTCCCTTACACTAATCTTAACCTTTTAACCCTAACCCGTGTAACTTGAACACTAAAATTCCTACACCGCAAAACCTTTTTCTCTTTCTATAATAAACAATTTATTATTGTCAGGAAGAGCTTTGGAGGTTTTGTGATTTTACACATTTGAAATCATCAATCAATCATTGTTAGACCACCATTAGAAACCTGGAAGCACTGAAACACGGCCGTTTCGTCCTGGTATGAGACTCATCATCACCACTGCGCATCCACGACTCCTGCACCTCAAAGTCATTCGAACCCGGGACCTTCGGTGTTGTGCGCGAACGCCTAACCATTGGACCACTCACTGGGCCGGCATCCAACAGGTGTTAATGTCTAACTCTGATTGATCTAGGAATTTTGTGCGACCTCACCCATTTGTCTTTGGTAGTTACTGCCTACACCCGACAGGGTTGAACTCCAGTGCTTCCAGGTTTCTAATGGTGGTCTAACAATGATTGATTGATGATTTCAAATGTGTAATTTATTATTGATCATGTTGAAGCTGTTTTGTCAAATTTAAGTGAATCACTTTTTGATGAAAATTCATACATAACTGTACACTGTTTTATGATTGGTCGATAACATCCTCAAATCGCTATTTCGCTTGACTAACCCTAGCCATTGAGGAAAAATCAAGAATAAGCATTACGAAGATGAAGAAACTCTATCTATCCCAGATAGTTTAATTGTGACAATATCATCGGTATATACTACAAAACGACCGGAAAAAATCTTTGCGATCACATCATTCACTTCAGAAGTCCCAAAGGATGTTAAAACAAACAGAAGATAATCAACATAAGTTGTACTACATAGTCAAGGTGGAATCATCAACAAAACAATAGTTTTATTCACAACTACACAAAAATTACTCAACATAACTTACAGACATGATGAAAAGTTGCATTACAGGGGGTTGCGAAGATGGTTAAGTTACACATTTGACATCAAGAATCGATCAATGTAAGTTAGACTACCATTAGAAGCCTGGAAGCACTGAATGACAGCCGTTTCCTCTTGGTATGGGACTTACTACCTCTTCTACTATTGGGTTTGAATTGACGATTTGACAATTATATCTCTGTGCTGATGTGGTATGGCGACATGAACTGATGTACTTACGTACAAAGTTCTACGTTGCATCTGTCTGTCTGTCTGACCGTCTTGGTATGGAACTCATCATCAGCATCCACAACTCCAGAGGTTAGGCGTTCGCACGCGAGACCGAAGGTCCTGGGTTCGAATCCTGCGGGGTGTAAGAGTTGTAGATGTGCAGCGAAACGGCCTTATTTCAGTGCTTCCACGTTTCTAATGGTGGTCTAACATTGATCGATTCATGATTTTAAATACGAAAAATGTTGATAAAAATACCAAAAAACCAAAAAAAAACAACTCACGTTCAAGAATATTCGGAGGTGATTTCCATGTAGACGGGACTTGATTATTTTTCAATGTGGAGTCTAAAAAAAGCCGATGAAGAAAAAAGTACAACTTTTAAAGTATTAGAAATAACATTAGTTATTTGACAAAACAAATTTTTTTACTGAACTTCAGTTACTCAAAGTTAGATGTTGAACCATTCACTCACTCACTGTACAAGATGCCTTAAAATTGCAAAGATGTCAACTTGATCAAAAACTTATTTCAACTAGAGGTAAGTAAGTACATAAGTCCCGACTGTAGCTGCTACCTTGACGTGGTGGTCGAGCTTGCCTATCGTGATGACCCAACCGAGCTATATTGGTTGGAACATATGTTCCTGAAGGTTCTACCATGCCAGGCAGGTCGATTGGAGAACGATGAGACTAAAAACAGCTACTCAAGGTTTGAGGGCGAAGTCGTACTGCTGACTGCAGAGAGATGTGACAACAATAAGGTGTTTCCTCGGACAACCAGCATCTGCAGCGACGCTACCTTATTACAAAAAAGGAAGAGTTAGAAAAGGTTGACCGTAGAAATGCTACACCTCACCCTACCTCACGGATTTCCGTCTCCGTCGGTAAGGGTGCCCACTAGGGGCTTTCAAGAGCGGAGCTAACACTCAAAAAACCCTTCATCAAAAGGCCGTGCGTGACCGGCCTCAAGCAGTTGTCCCCTGGGCTCTGCGGTCACGCTCCCAGGTCTCCAAGACCAACGCTAATCTACCTTCCTTTTCAGGTCGCTGAAGAAACAACCTTCCACGGTGTGGGCAGCCGGGAAGTGACAACCGCCCTCATACCCGTAACAGCATACCCCGTACATTATTGGTAAGAACCGGTTCGATTTGTTTTCAGTTGATTGTCTCTCCACAGGTTATCTTTATATTATTTGTTGTATGTATTCAAGCAGTAAACTGTCTTTTTTGATTCCTCTCCGATTATATACACGTAATTGATCAAAACTTTACCTCATGAGTGTTCGTTCATGAACTGGAACTATGTATGATGTATTAATTGTTTGCCAAAGTATCATATAAAAACTACGCTAGCAGAAGGGTTAGTGTTAAGATATTCATCAAATATCCTAAGAGAAATATATTTGGAAGTTTATCTGTAAAACCTTATTATTCCTTCCTTCATTCCTTCTGTACTCGACCGCCATAAACAACTTCATCTAACGGTGTTGTATTTTGATATATATATATTGGAGATTGGGGAAGAGTATTTTTGGGTCGTATTGGATGGAATATCTGAATATGGTCAATCGGTAGGATTTCGAATAGCTACATAGCAGACACCATCAGCAACAATTTACTCTGGGAGAGAACAAACCAGATTCCAGTGGAGGAAGAAATCACGAAGAAGCGGTGGAAGTGGATAGGACACATAATACGAAAAGCACCTAACTGCGTCACAAGACAAGCCCTCGCATGGGGAACCCTCAAGGCAAAAGGAAAAGAGGAAGTTCAAGCAACACAATACGTCGAGAAATAGAGAAAGATATTAGAAGAATGCACAAACATTGGATAGAACTAGAAAGGGAAGCCCAGGATAGAGTTGGTTGGAGAAAACTGTCTAGGCGGCCTGTGCTCCATTGGGGGTAACAGGCGTAAGTAAGTAAGTAAGTAAGTAAGTAAGTAACATAGCAGCATTATAACAGTTAATCAGTTGAAAACAAATGTAGGAGATCTAAGGAAAAATGTTCAGTAGTAGTTAGAGGTTAAACAAACTTCGATATCTTGAACTTGAACACAATTTTTTCAAAAAAAACAAGACAACAACTGATTTAAAGTTTGTGAAATAATTAGGAAACTTCTTTCTTTTCTACATGGATTAGTAGTTAGTTGTTGTAGGATATTCGAACAGTTTTGTATAAGTCAATCTACATTTAAGCCAAAAAGAGAACTAGAACTCGGTTTTGTGGTGTAGGAGTAGGTTGGATGAAAGCTAGGGGCGGCCAAACCAAAACATGGCACAAATCCATGAAGTCACTAACAAGTGGACTGAGTCATGTTGGTAGATGTAGACTACCTGATTGGGATCCGCGAGACGAAAGTCACCAATGGTTAGAGACCTTGAACGACATGGCTCAAAATCGTTTGCAATGTCGCAAGTGCATCCATTCTTTGAGCTCTTTCAAATCTTAATCTTCTGGATTCGTCAGCACCTCTACCTTTGTCTTTCGAACCTTATCTCACTGAATTATACTTCTTGAATAATAATATCTTCAAAGCCTAGTCTTCTTCATTACCATTAATACCTCTACTATCTCTATTACTATGGGATTAGAATTGACAATTACTTCTCTGTGCTAGTAATGTGGTATGGCAACATGAACTTCTGTACATACATACGAAGTTCTACGTTGCAACTGACTGACTGAACTAGAACTCGAGAACACTAATGGTGTTGTTCATCTAAGTCATAAATCTTCTCTCTCTCTCACTCACTCACTCACTCATTCACAGTGATGTTACATAGACGCTTACGCACAGTTGGGTACAATATGCATGTACATATGTGAATGTTTTTTTTTAACAAAAACAACTAGAATATTACAACAACTGTTCAAAGATTTATTTACTATTAACTATTACCATTACAACAAAGATGGATTAACAAGTTTTGTTAACTACAAGTAGAAAAACAGAAATGTTGAACAATGATGACAGATCATGACTAGGATGTGTAAACAAATCGACACACACACACATATACACAAACACACTATTGGAACAGAGTACAAACATTATTGTGTCAATGATGATATTGACGACACAATGTATATTGGCAATACATACACATTAGTCATTTTTCCTTAAGTATGATCATCTATTTGCATTGCATTGATGAGACTGTTTAACAATAATGATTATGTTTGTGAGTAGTAAATTGTCAATTTCAATTCGATTATCATTGATAAATTAACATTTGACGAAAATCTCAGTACAAACAGGTTAGGGGGCAAAATTCAACTTTTACAAATTCTCATAAGAATATGTTTAGCTGCTATCTTGACGTGGTGGTCGGGCTTGCCTATCGTGATGACCCAACCGAGCTATATTGGCTGGAATATATGTTCCTGAAGGTTCGTTCTACCATGTCAGGCAGGTCGATTGGAGAACGGTGAGACTAAAAGCAGCTACCCAAGGTCTGAGGGCGAAGTTGTACTGCTGACTGTGATGGAGGGGTGTGACAGCAGCAGTAAGGTGTTACCCTTGGACAACCAGCATCTGCAGCGATGCTGCCTTCTCACAAGGAAGGAGGAGGGGTAAGAAAAGGTCGACCCTAAAAATGTCACAACCCACCTTACCTCACGGATTTCCGTCTCCGTCGGTAAGGGTGCCCACTAAGGGCTATTAAGTGCGGAGCTAACACTTAAAATACCCGTAACAGCACGAGATAAAGAATGAATGAGACGATTTAATTGAATGGAACACACGTTAAAATAACTAAATTTGACGAATGCATTCCCTAAACACCTTTCAGAAAAACTGATCAAGAGTTAAGAGATAGTTATTGATTGTCAGTAAAGAGTTGTAAAAATTACTGAGTTTTAATGAAATCATGAATCAATCGATGTTAGACCACCATTGGACACCTAGGAACACTGGATAGCCATTTTGTCATAGTATGGAAATCATCCCGAAACCTGGAATCGAACCAGGGAATTTCGGTATCGCGCACGAACGCTTAATTTCATGACCACTGAGCCGGTGTCCAATGGTGTTAATGTTTAACTTCAATCAACCCACGATATTGTGAAACTTCCTCTATGGCCTTCGGTGGATAAGTGTCGCACACCCAACACAGCTTCTCACAAGAAATCTTAAGAATTGCTTGACGAAGCTAGTCACTGCTGAGCACATGATGATTGTCAGCATAGGATTTGATTCCTGCTTGAGGATTCATCGGTGGGTACTGCTGATAATCTCTATATACTAGAACGAAACAGTCGTCCAGTGCTTGTTGTTGGCTTGTTGGTGGTCTCACATTGGTCGATTCATGATTTTAATGAGAAACATTTATGATTAGCGAAACCTCCCCCTTGGCATCTTGCTTGATACTTTCAACCTACCGGTAGCCCCGCCACGAGAAGAAACTCAGCAGGAAGCTGTTCTTCGTTCCAGAAGGTATCCTCTCACACAGCGGCGAACGACAGTCAAGATGCAAGTCGACCCCAGGAGCACACGCTATTAAAAAGGGGAGGAGTGTTGGTGATGTTAGATCCCTAAAATTCGCTTGATAAATGCCTTCTCTTGGATTTCACCTTTGCGCGAGCATGGGCTGATCAGTTGACCTTGAGATTTCAATTCCCACCAGGAAAATCTATGGCTGTGATTGACTGCTGTGTATTTTATTAGTGTGCTATTTTCGTGTAACTGTCTCAAAGACGTTTCTATGTTGTATCAATAAACGAGAGTTGTATGCTTGATTGTACTGCGATTGCTGGGTGTTTGTAGAATATACTTTCTACACTACATAAAGACTTCTCTCTTGCAGTTTTGGGATTCAAGGTAGCCTACCTGGACGCTGGTTCATTGTCTCGTTCGCGTTCATCGACTAAGGTAAACTCGTAATAGCCTCAAGCATACTAAGTAACGAACCCAATAAATTGTTAACTGAAACCCGAGTGAACTTATAATAAATCGCAACAAATGTCGAACGTTCAAAACGAAAAAGCTCTCTCTACTAAACCTTCCAAAAATAATCATGAATCAAAATAAACTATTTTACACGATACATGACTTATCATCTGCAACATCTTAAAAAAAAAGATTTTACTAGCATAGAAGGAGTTTGAGGAAGACGGTTCAATATTGTAATTTACTGTAATGGACTGCTTTTCGCCTAACACCAACTAAAAAAAGCCAGAAAGCAATGAACAAGTGCCTAGTCGTAGTGTGTATCATTGACCTCATCACAGGTTGAAGCCATAGCTTCGAACTATATATATATATATAGACCACCGATTTGCTGGTATTCAATGTTCGATATTTCTAACTCCGATCAATTCGTGATACATTACATCACCTTGATTAAATGTCAGTAGAAAGTAAAAAATTTTTTTGTCCCCAGCATAGTTGAACTGGTGGGAGGGTCAGGTCAATCATGATGCGATCATGAATGAGCACTTCTAGGAAGATTCATTTATTGGTTGTTTAACTATTGTCCAGTGTGTGTGTGCGTGTGTGTGTGTGAAGTAAACTACCAACCAAAAACAGTAATTTTAATGAAGAAAAACAAAAACAAACAATTGAAACTGTTACGCAACAATGTGCATGCACATTAAATATTTACTTGAAGATGCTAATCGACTGGATACAATCGCGGGATCATCAAGTTGCCATGTTAATGTGGAAGCTTGAAAAAGGAATAAATACAAAAAAAGAACAATAAAGTCAAGTGCATTAAACATTCACTATCTAACCAATCAGTCAGTCAGTCAATCAGTCATGTGACCAGTGAAGTTCAAACCTGTCTGGATGTATACAGAGTATGAGGTTGCGCAACTCCGTGAATTTGATCAAATTAGACATTAACAACGTTAGATACCGGCTCAGTGGTCTAAAGGTTAGGGCATTCGCTCACAAGACCTAAGGTCCTGGGTTCGAATCCTGCGAGGTGCAGGAGTCGTGGGTGCGCACTGCCACTGAGGAGTCCCATACCAGGACGAAACGGCCGTCTTTCAGTGCTTCCAGGTTTCTATTGGTGGTCTAACATTGATCGATTCATGGTTACAAATAAATCAGTCAATAGACAGAATTCAAATTCAATTTGAGAATATTAACCAAAAAAGTAGTAGAAAGTGCCTCCTTATGCGATTAGAATATGAAATAAAGAATTCAGTCACAGTGTTGTAGGATGTGTCGAGTGATGGCAACTTTATAACATGACACTGGTCCGATGGTTAGGCGTTTGCCTACGATACCGACGGTCCCGGGTTCGAATCCTGCGAGGTGCAGGAGTCGTGGGTGCGCACTGCCACTGATGAGTCCCATACCAGGACGAAACGGCCGTCTTTCAGTGCTTCCATGTTTCTAATGGTGGTCTAACATTGATCAATTCATGGTTACAGATAAATCAGTCAATAGACATAATTCAAATTCAATTTTGATAATATTAACCAAAAAAGTAGTAGAAAGTGCCTCCTTATGCGATTAGAATATGAAATAAAGAATTCAGTCACAGTGTTGTAGGATGTATATATATAAACAGGTGAGATTGCTGAGTGAAATACTTCAAAATTCAATATAATAATGATAATAATCCGTTAAACTACGCCTGTAGTCCCTTCGGGGCTACTGCCGGTCCCAAGCCCAGATAAAGGAGGAGGGGTTAGGCATGGGGTTGGCGCCCCCATCCTAACTAAAAACTAACTTGCCAAAAAAATCGCTAGCCAGAAAAAATAACTCAAACCATTTTAACTTTGCCCTGGGAGTTGGAAGGAGAATTATGACGTCGCGTGATGAAAGCCGAGTTCTCTCGAAAGTCACGGGGCCGATGCCTCTTCTGACAACCAGAGCAACCATTCTTTTAGGTACATGGAACGTTCGAACATTGTGGGAGACTGGAAGACTATTTCAAGTTGCGGCAGAAATGAAAAGATACAACCTCGAGGTGCTCGGCATCAGTGAAATAAACGACACAGGTAATATTATATTCTATGAGATGATAGATTGATTGCAATGCTGTAATTATTGTTCTGGACAATGTTGTGAATGATGAATAATTTGTATGACGGGGTTGTGAAGATTGTTAAGTTACACATTTTTGAAATCAATGTAAGTTAGAAACCTGGAATCACTGGATGACCGTTTCGTCCTAGAATGGGACTCATTAGCAGTGCGTATCCACGACTCCTACACCTCGCAGGATTCGAACCTAGGACCTTCGGTCTTGTGCGCGAACGCCTAATCGTTAGACACTGGCTCAGTGGTCCAGAAGTTAACATCATATGACATCTTAGCTAAATTACTGTGTTGGGAAAATGCAATACTTCCCTAGAATTCGATCACTTTTGTGTGTTTGACAGTCACTATTTCTTTTTTCAATTGTAAAACTGTAAGGATACCGTTTCATCAGAAGTTAAGAGACTTTCTCATTCGGAATAACTAGTTTTCAAGGATACACTGTAAAATTATGAATGACGGCCGAGTCAGGTATGAATGTTTATTTTTGTAGGCATACTACAAGTTTGATTGATGAGATTTTTTTAAATCGTATTCACTTACTCGAAAGTGATAATTACTAAAGCGGCATTCAACATTTATAAATTTGTTATTAGACCAAGTAGATTTATAAAATTGTAGAATACAGACTTTAAAGACAACTAGTCGGTAGGTGTCGAATACATGGTTGAAGTCTGCGAGATGATAGTAATCGATGGTTAGAGACCTTGAATGACATGGCTCAAAACCGTTTGCAATGGCGCAGGTGCATTCATTCTTTGTGTTCTCACAAATCCTAACCTTCTGAATTCTTCATCACCTTTATCGCTTTTTCATTTTAAGTTTATTTCACTAGATTCTACTTCTTGAATAATATCTTCGAACCATAATCTCTGCGATTACTTCTAATACCTTTACTTCCTCTACTACTATGGGCTTTGAATTGACAATTACATCTCTGTGCTAATGTAGTATGACAACTTGAACTGATATACGTACGTACGAAGTTCTACGAAACTGTTGATTGATGGAGACCACTTGAAATCATATTCATTCTTAAACAGATAACTTACTAGTCAATACTCAGATTTGTGGTAAATCTTTCAATTAGTGTTATGAAGGACCTTATGCGTTATAAATTCGTTTTATATATTACCCTCAAAAATCAGTTTCATAGTTCATCTTTCTTAGTATGATCTTCATACGGTACTTGTTATAATATGTGATGCCACAGAACGGAATGTAGCACACACTAAACCCCTAAAACTGATAACTTTACATGAGATGATAAGAGTAACAGAGAAAGTCTATGTAGCAGCTACTGAATCATATGTATCTATTTCGCCTGCCTAGAAAATGAGTTCAATTCTCGACCAATGATGATATGCATTCATCCATTAAGACATTTCTAACGGTCACATCAAATGACCTTCTCATTTGACCACTTCTGATTGGCTTGTTATGTGAGGTTCCATGCTTTTATCAGTCACTACAATATATTTATTTGAAATGATATGAAATAGTAAGGTAATAAAATATTCATCATTTTGAGTAGGTTTTCTAATATATGTATATAAATATATGTCCTTACTTTTAAGATCTATTAATAATCATCATGTATGATAGATATTATCTGTATAGACAGACAGACAGACAGACAGATACAACTCAGAACTTCGTACATAAGTACATCAGTTCAAGTTGCCATACCATGTCAGCACAGAGACGTACCTGTCAGTTCAAATCCAAGAGTGATAGTGATAGTAGAATTATTAGCAGCAATGGAGAAGATTAGGGAACGTAGATATGATTCGAAAAGTATAATTCAGTAAGATTAATTTAGAAAGTCAAAACCAGAGGTGTTGAAGAATTCAGAAGGTTAGAATTAAAAAGCACACAAAGAGTGGATGCACCTGCGCCATTGCAAACGATTCTGAGACACGTCGTTCAAGGTCTCTAACAACCGATTATTATGATCTCGCGGACCCCAACCAGGTAGTCGACAATTACCGACATGACTCAGTCCACTTGTCAATGACTTCATGGATTTCTGCCATGTTTTGGTTTGGCCGCCCCTAGCTTTCTTCCAACCTACTCCTACACTACAAAACAAAGCTCGTCGGGGCAGTCAGTGGTTAGCCATACGCAGCACATGTCCCAACCACCTCAACTGATGAAGTCTCGATTCTTCATCAATTGACCTACCATCCTTACCTAGGACCCTTTTCCTAACAACAGCATCGCTTACGCGCTTGTCCCATGATAAACGAGCCATGCTTCGGAAACATCTATGATCGAAGACTAGTAACCTACGAATTTCCTCTCCTCTTAACGGTCAGCAAACGGATATCTCGCCTACGCCATAAGTGACGCAGGTTGGCAAAAGCCAATCGAGCCTTCTCTATCCGTGCTGAGATTTCGTCAGTCACCAGGCCATCAGTACTGATGAGACTCCCAGGATAAGTGAAGTGATCAACATACCCGACTACTTCACTCTCTATCACTAGTTCAGGTGCCGATGAAACCCAATCTTGAAGCAACATTTTGCATTTCGACGAGGGGGAAAACCACATCCCGAACATGCTTGCATTGTTTCTTAGGGTAGTCAGAAGACTCTGGCATTTTGTCAGTGTCTTCACCGAATAGAACTGTCATCGGCATATTGTAAGTTGATAAGCGAGCCCTCCTGGTAAAAGGTCTGTCTACTCCTGACAACTCAGACGAGGATTGTTTCTAAATTTGAAATTTACCGGCAATCAACTATTCAGCTAACTTGAATAAGTGTGTGTGTTAAAGCTAAGCATATTTTTTGTCAGTGTCTATTTGAATTCTTCTCAAAAATTCGTGCATTCTAATGAAACACTAAATAAATGATATTTAGAAAAATAGTTTTCCAAAACAGATTTTCATAGTTCACAGTTGTTTTTAACACAGTGTTTAATTTTAGACCCCGTGTATACATTTAGAAATATTCACCACTCACTCGGCCATCATTCAAAACATTTTTCACTATATCCTTGAAAATGAAAGAGTCTCTTAACTTCTCTAATGTGAGTGAAACGGTATCTTTACAGTTTTACAATTAGAAAATAAAAAAAAGAAGATTAAGTGACTGTCAAACACACACACACACACAAAAAATAAAACTAATCAAATTCTAGGGAAGTAATACGCATTTTCCTACTAACACCAATAATAATTAGCTAAGATGTCATCATATGATGCTAACTGAATATGTATATATTGTAACGCAGAAAAAAAAACAAATAAATTTAATTCACTAATCAACCGAAACCAAAATTGGTCAAATTAAATAATAATAATAATAATAATAATAATAATAATAATAATAATAAAATCGATAACACATAACTATCATCATTCATCATCATCATCATCTCGCCCATTCTATTTAGAATAAGGAAGGAAGGAAGGAAGGAAGGAAGTAGGGGAAGAATCTAGTGAAATTTAAGCTTTTTACTTACTTACTTACTTACACCTGTTATTCTCAATGCAGCATAGGCCGCCCCAACCAGTTTTCTCCAACCAACTCTGTCCTGGGCTTCCCTTCCCAGTTCTGTTCAATGTTTGTTTTATTCCTCTCATATCTTTCTCTATTTCTCGGCGTAATTTGTTTCTTGGCCTTCCTCTTTTCTTTTTACCTTGAGGATTCCATGTGAGGGCTTGTCTCGTGACGCAGTTGAGTGTTTTTCGTAGTGTGTGTCCTATCCACTTCCACCACTTCTTCCTGATTTCGTCCTCCATTGCAAACTCCCACAGTACGTTGTTACTGATGGTGTCTGGCCATGGAATCCTCAGTATTTTGAGTAGACAACTGTTAATAAACACTTGTATCTTCTGGTTGATGGCTTTGGTAGTTCTCCATGTTTCCGCTCCATACAGTAGAACTGTCTTCACATTTGTATTGAAAATCCTGATTTTGGTTTTGGTTGAAAGTTGTTTGGAGTTCCAGATATTTTTCAACTGTAGAAATGCAGCCCTTGCTTTGCCGATCCACAACCTCACATCTGCATCCGATCCACCTTGATTGTCGATGATGCTGCTTAGATATGTAAAGGTGTTAACGTCCTCCAAAGCATCTCCATCAAGAGTGATTTGGTTGGTGCACGTTGTGTTGCATCGGAGAATTTTGCTTTTTCCTTTATGTATGTTGAGACCTACTGCTGCAGAGGCTGCTGCTACACTGGTCGTCTTCTCTTGCATTTGCTGTTGCGTGTGCGATGGAAGAGCCAGGTCATCTGAGAAGTCCAGATCGTCCAGCTTCGTCCTAACTGTCCAGTCGATACCGTGCTTCCCTCCAGACGTCGACGTCTTCATAATCCAGTCGATCACCAGGAGAAAGAGAGAGGGTGCAAGTAAGCAACCTTGCCTGACACTGGTCTTCACCTCGAAAGAGTCTGTCAGCTGACCTCCGTGCACGATTTTGCAGTTGAATTCATCGTAAGAATTCCGTATGATGTTGACTATTTTCTCAGGCACACCGTAGTGTCGAAGAAGCCTACACAGTGTTTTTCGATCCACGCACATTTGAAATCATCAATCAATCATCGATGGTTTCAAATGTGTAAAAACACAAAACTCCAAAACTGTGCCCCAAAATATCGTAACAGCGCTCACTAGTGACTACCAGCTTCGTGAGCGAATTCTCGGAGTTCTAGTTAGACAAGACGTGACCAGTAGAGGAGTTCAACCCTGTCGGGTATATGTAGGCAGTAACTACCAAAGACAAATAATGGGTGAGGTCGTGCAAAATCCCTAGATCAATCAGAGTTAGACATTAACACCCGTTGGATGCCGGCCCAGTGGTCCGATGGTAAGGCATTCGCCTACAATGCCAAAGGTCCTGGGTTCGAACCCTGCGGTAAGCAGGAGTCGTGGATGCGCACTGCCACTGATGAGCCCCATACCAGGACGAAACGGCCGTCATTCAGTGCTTCTTCCAGGTTTCTAATGGAGTGGTCTAACAATGATTGATTGATAATGTCAAATGTGTAATAATAATAGTAATAATAATTTCCTTTCTTAGTTTAAGATATAAAGTTTTATTGTAACAGAGAAGAGGCAGAAGCAAAGTAGAAACAGGACACACACGAAAAGCGATTTAATATTAAAATGTACCAAAAAAACTCAGAATGCGAAATGAATTTTACCTGGATTCATTGAATTATTGGTATTATTATTATTATTGTTAGGGCGTGAATTCATATCGTTCAAGTCTGGATTGCAACAGAAACTGCCATGATTATTATTGGTATTATTAGTGTTATTCTGAAAATATTGGAAAATAAAAAATAAAAAATAAGAATAAGAAAAACGGAGAGAGAGATTTTATAAATTATCAAATCAATGTACAACAGATGATGATGATGATGCTATGAAAAGGGGCAACAGAAAAACCCCCCGAAAACAGCAACATATAGAGTTGGTCAGCACAAATCAATGCACAATAATACGTTGACATTCATTTCAGAAACAATAAGTAGGATATGAGATATAAGAATAGTGAATAGTGGTTTATTAGTGTAATGAAAATCGATAAATTCTACAATAAACATACATGTATTACTGTTATTATTAATCACCTATCCAATATACACATACACACACGCACACACAGACACACACAAAAAGGAAGAGATCAAAAGTTAAACTAATCTCCCCGTTTAATATGTAAAACACAAAAAACTAACGATTAGATCGCTGGTCACCACAAACTAAGCAGTGCTGTTCAATGTTTCAATGGTACTACTCTTCGAGTTCTAGTGAGTGGGAAGACGTGATCAGTGAAGTTCAACCTGTTCGGATGTAGACAGTAACTACTACTGAAGACTGTGTGTATGAGGTTGCGCAACTCCGTGAATTTGATCAAGTTAGACATTAACACCGTTAGATGCAACCGGCTCAGTGGTCTAACGGTTAAGCATTCGCGCACAATACCGAAGGTCGTGGGTTCGAATCCTGTGGGGTGTAGGAGTCATGGATGCGCACTGCTGATGATCAGTCCCATACCAGGACGAATTGGCCGTGTTTCAGTGCTTCCAGGTTTCTCTAATGGTGGTCTAACATTGATCAATTCATGGTTTCAAAAATGTATAAATTATATATATCAGTCTATGACGAATATGATCACGATAACAAGAGAAATATATTTCCCGGGAAAAAAATAGTTGAAAAACCGGATACAAATTAAATTCTACTAACAACTGATTTATTTGTTAGGATAATTCATCCAATATCCTAAGAGAACTATTGGTCAATTCCTATTGGTTAATTTCTGCTGGTCAATATTATGGTCGTCCTGACTATCAATGTCACGTACTTCAATGTTGTCTCTTACCGGTAGTCCCGACTGTCAATGACACGTACATCAATGTCGGTTCCTATTCGACCTAACTGTATAAATACGCATTATCTGTAACATTTTGTGACTCGGACCTCATACTTTCTTGATGCTTGTAGAATACAGGTTCTACTTCATATCAAGTCTTCTTCTTTTATTCAATGGGGGTTGGAATAATCGGATTTGAGTAGCATGTCGTGTCACCGGATCCTCACCCTCGTTTCCGACAAAGGTAAACTCGTAATAGCTCAATAATATCAAAATGTCATGTTTACGTGCATACGTAACACTATCATTGTGATTTGAAAGTGGAATTATGCCAAAAGTTCAACAGTGAATATCCGTGGGGTGTTTATTTCACAGACATTTCTTGCCTTCAAAAATCTGAGGTTAGTTAAAATTGTTTTTAACTGATGACATTTTCTACAACGACAAAAAGTACAATCTATTTTTACAGATCCTCTCCAAAGTACACTGTGCACGAAATTCGCTTGTTGAGATCATTTAATGTTAATCAAATTATAACAACGCTAACTGAACATGATGAAAATATTCATTGGTCTATCTAATGACTACTTTTACAAATAAGAAAACTGAATAGGAATATATTATTTAACTAATTCACAATAATAATACTAATGTTAAATGAAATATCTATGTCTAGGTATAATCACTAGTCCATAAATCATACATTATTGTACAAACTTCCCCAAATACGATACGGCTGAAAGTAGGCAGGATTGATTCTCTTTCTCTCAAAGTCCTTTTCTGTTATAAATGCATATAATATGTCGTTTGATATGCTTGAAATATGAGTTTACCCTAGTCGGAAAACGAGAGCGAGGATCGACGATCCAGCGATACGACATGCTACTCAAATCCGATTGTCCGAACCCCCGCTGAGTGAAAGAAGACTTGATATGAAGTAGAACATGTATTCTAAAAGCATCCAGAAAGTACGAGCTCCGAGTCTAGAAGAGGCTAAGTATACCGGACTGAGGATCCGGGTCTGAGTCATAAAACGTTACAGTTGATGCGTATTCATACAGTTAAGTCGAACAGGAACCAAGACTGAAGTCTGTGACATTGATAGTTAGGACGACCAATAAGAAACAACATTGAAGTACGTGATATTGATATCTAGGACGACCATAATATTGACCAATAGGAATCGCTCAAAATGTTGCTTCGTAGGATATCTGGTGAATATCCTAACATTTTCATATGATCACATGTATATATAGCCACCCTTAGGGAAGTTCAACTTACTGCCTTCTCGTTGGCACAGGCATTGTTTACGAAACTAAGCTAGTACACATGGATTACAAGATCCTTATGGAACAAATCGCGTAAAGAACCTACTTCGATCACCGGCTACCATGAAACTGCACTACCTTGTAGAGTATAGACTGTTAGGTCAAAGGCTCGACGAGTAGCCTCCTACGAAAACGACCTGATTCAGTTCAGACAGCCGAGTAGTATCCACGATTTGCATGGCACAAAAACATTTCAGTACCTCACTGTACTAATGCTTATGTACTAAAATAAATAAATAACTTGGCATAAAATACATACATTGAGATTAGGAAAGAAAAAATTATTGAAAGACATTAGTTCAAATTATCAAGTCACAGAGTGTTCGGGTAAAACCTCACAGGGTCAATCGTCACATGAACATATATATATATATATATATATATATATATATATATATATATATATATTCAGTCAGTTAGTCAGATGCAACGTAGAACTTCGTTCATGTCGCCATACCACATCAGCACACAGATGTAATTGTCAATTCAAATCCAATAGTAGAAGAGGTAGTAAAGGTATTAGAAGTAATCGGAGAGTATGATTCAATGAGAAAAGTTTAGAAAGTTAAAACTAGAGGTGTTGAAGAATCCAGAAGATTAGGATTTGAGAGAACACACTTGCTCCATTGCAAATGATTTTGAGCCATGTCATTCAAGGTCTCTAACCATCGATTATTATCATCTCGTGGACCCCAACTAGGTAGTCGACAACTACCGACATGGCTCAGTCCACTTGTCAATGACTTCATGAATTTCTGCCATGTTTTGGTTTGGCCGCCCCTAACTTTCTTCCAACCTATTCCCACACTACAAAACAAAGCTCGTCGAGGCAGTCGGTTGTTAGGCATACGTAACACATGTCCCAACCACCTCAACTGATGAAGTTTCATTACTTGACCTATTGATCTGCCATTCCTTTCAACTATCCTAACATGGTGTTTACTATTTAAAAATAAACTACCTATAGTTCTTAATAATAATAATAATAATAATAATAATAATAACAATGATAATAATAATAAAAACAGTAATTATTCACTATCAATCAATTAACTAGCGATAAAAAAATACATATCTGTATTGAAAATCAAAACAAAACCCATTTCACAATCTAACTAATCCGCCGTATGTGAATAAATCCCCAAACGGGGTTTTGATCACAATTTATCATTAAATAATTAATTAATTAATTAATCAGGATCAATCAAATTATTTACGATGAAAAAAAAATTAAAAATTAAAACGCACAAAAGAAAAGAAAAAAGAAGATTAAAACACACTATGACACAAACTATACAGAGAACAATCAGTCAGTCATCATAGACAATTTGAAATAGATCTATTGGTTCATGATGTCATACACACATTGTGTCAGAAGAGACTTTGCATCAATAATCATTGTAATCATTCAATATCTGTGTTTTAATTTAATTTGGTAGAAGAACACTAAACCGGAAACAACACCAACAACAACAACAACACGAGATCTATGCAAAAAAAAAATCAATTCACATTTACTATTATTCTCAGAGAGTAGTAGAAGTAGTGATGGTAGTAGTAGTAGAACACAACTCTATTATTAGATAGGCATGATGACGTTGTTAGCTGGAAATTATATTGAAAAGTAAATTGCCATAAGTTTTTATTGAATAAAATAATCTATGAGTAATAATAATGATAATAATAATAATTTGTTTAAGACCAAATTTGTGTGTTTGATAATGATGATACACATTTGAAATCATCAACCAGTGATTGTTAGACCACCCATCATTAGAAACCTGGAAGAAGCACTGAAAGACGGCCGTTTCGTCCTGGTGTGGGGACTCATCAAAAGTGTGCCTAAATGACTCCTGAGGGGACTTTCGGTCTTGTACGCGAATGTCTAACGACTGGGCCATTGAGCCGGCATTCAGCGGTGTTAATGTCTAACTTCGATCAATTCACGGTTTTGCGCAACCTCATACACTGTCTTCGATAGTAGTTACTGTCTACACCAGAACATGTTGAACATCACTGGTCACGATTTCTCACTAGAACTCGGAGAAGATTCCTCACGAAGCTAGTCACTACGATTTTTCAATTAGAATTATGAAGATTAGTGTTTTTTACACATTTTTGAAATCATCAACCAGTGATTGTTAGACCACCATTAAAAACCTGGAAGTACTGAAAGACGGCCGTTTTGTCCTGGTATGGGACTCATCGGTGACAGTCTGCATCAACGACTTCTGCACCTAGCAGTCATTCGAACCCGGGACCTTCGGTCTTGCGCGCGAACGCCTAACCTCTGGACCACTGGGCTTGTGGTGTGAGCTACTTATAAGTAGTATATGACGTGAGTGTCAACGTAATGTTTGGCAGCAGAAGATGGGGGAAAATCAAGAAAGGAAGAACACAATCGGATTTGTATGAAACGCATGAATAGTGAGTGAAATGTCAGACAATGGATTGCAGATTTGCAAATGAACGATTTACGATATGGTTTTCCAATTTCACTGAGTAACTCTGTAATTTTCGTTAAATACAATCCGGTTGCCCCACCTGTGTTCTCGTTCACTACAGGCTGGCATCTAACAGTGTTAATGTCTAACTCTGATTGATCTAGGAAT